GTAACCAATTCTTCGAAATATACACCTATTCGATATAAAGTTGAGACTTGGGGACTGTGGTACACTACAATTCCATTATGGATAACATTTATTTTGATAAAGTCACAGCGTTATAGAGTAATACTGGCTAGATTTCCAATAGTTAGCAACCAATACCTCTTTTTCGTTTTAGCTAGCATGATGCAAAGATGCAAAACAGATGAAATACTATACACACAAATTATTTAAAATTCAAGAAGTTATATCACTCACCTAACAAATTTTCAGTTTGATTATAAAATTCCGACACATGTAGGTCTCTTCGAATTCCAATAGGATTTGACATGTTCATGATTCTGTTATGTTCCGGATAAAGTGAAGGCTTTGTATGATATGAAATTGATTTCCAGTTTTAAATAAATCTATAACAATATAATATCTGTATGTCTTGATATGATTTCAAGTAGCAAAATGAGTATGTCCTAAACCAGGGCGAATAGTAAATTCACTAACGAAGATTTTAAATAGACAGACGTGTGACATTAACTGGCCTTATTCATGTATTATTTTGATGTTTTAATTTGTTAACACAAATCATATCATAAGACGTCCAATCACGGCTCATCTCATTTCGTTTCATGCTATTGGCTAAAATACGATAGTCTCATATAGTAGTCTTACTTTACTCAACTCCATTTTGTCTGTGTGCATTTCATATTGAGTCATTTGCATTTAATTAAAAAAAAGAAAACAATCAATCAATACTTATATATACTTCGTCATAATGAGTAAATGTGATGTGTGTTCAAAAAAATAGACTGAATTATTGTCTTGATTGTCTTATAATGGATGAGATGTATTCAAGTGCATAAGGTTAGGCAGATATCATTCATACTCATACGAATAGACCTCACTTTTCGTTAAGGTCAAGGTATTGAAATTTTAAAATGGGAAAGCATAATATCAAAACAGAACCAGACGTCAATATAATGGTGAGAATAACACTATAGAGACTAGTGAAGGTTTTAAGGATTTGGAATACTAGCAGGAAATTTGAACGAAGCTGTGTACACCACCATTGAGAACGACTTACAAGACATTACAGAGAAGAGCACTTTTGAAACAAAAATTAATTACATAAAGTTATTATTATTATTATTCATCTTTTCAACTATATATTCTATATTTCAACTTCCTAGAGCATACATTATCGATGATTCATCAGGAAGTATCAATTAAAGGGAGAGAGATCAAAGGTCACCAAGTTATTAATGATACTAATGAGAATACAAATGAATGCAAACATCAGGTTGCGTATCATCTCTACATTCATTTATTTATTTGTTTTGTAGGGATTCCTTCTGTCAGAAAATTATCTGCTTTTCATATTACTGGATCCAACTAGTTCTGAATTCTTAAAGAATGTATATTGACAAATTAACTGTAAATAGTAGAAATGAATAAAATCTAAAACTCCTCAACAGTACGCACCCACCGGGACTCGAAACAAGGACATTCTACTTAGTCCCAAGGTAGGACGAAACAACTGTCCACTAGTCCCTGCCGGTTTTCCAATGGTTCTCCAACCAATGTCAGCTCAGGATGAAATCCTGTAACGCCCTCTGGTTTTTTTTTCTCAACTCGAGACGAGTTTTGTTTGTGACAGAATCTACATTCTGTATGTATTGTGCAATACGACTAGAATAACTTTGGAAGGCAGTCGATAAAGTGAGTTTAAAATTGATAATGATCAAAGTGTGTATAATACTGAAGATGATGAAATGTGTTGACTTGTATATCAGAAAAATTGAATAATTAAATGCAAACAGGAGGCGAAGTTACTTCTGCATAATTCATATTGCATGCGTACTTTCTATTGATGAATACAGTTCTAAAGTGTTTACTTATAAGTGAGAACAGAGAAAGGAAATGTTATAGGCAAGATAAGCAGAGATAGAGAAAGAGACATGTTACCTGAAACTGATGTGTGCATCGATATCTTGTCTCTTGGTTTGCTACACTACAACTTTGATTGGTCTATTTTCTACATAGTGTGGTGGTGTGGTGCAGAGAATGTATTCCAACGGAATATTATTCTCACATACTCCCACAGTTCAGTTCACTACGGGATTAGCAACAGAATACTGTGTATATTTGAAGATTCTATTTGTTTCCAGGGGAAGAATACTTTCCCTATAGTTCAATATAGGCATTAGCAACAGAACGCTCTATATATTTATTTGGAAATTCTATTTCATGTCGTTTAATGTAAACCAAAACCACACACTGAGTGATTAGTTAAAGGATATAAAAGTGGGTTTATATATAAATGCCTGTTTGATCACTTGAAAATATACCTTAGCTTCTGTGTCTTGCCTTCTGCTGTTAGAATAGCACTTGCATATATCATGTCTTCATTTTGCTTCACTAGAGTGTCTCTTTCTCTGGTTTTACCTTATATAAAAGTAACATTATCAATGTTATAGGCGATAAAATCACAATAATAGAATGATGGAGTAAAATCTTTTTCTCAAGAATTCCATTGAACTGAACATGTCTTATAAATTGACAGACAGTTCTGTGTTCAGTTTCTCACTAATTTGTGCACAGATATTAACATTTATCTAATGTTTTATGAAGAGCAAGAGCGTACTACTGAAACAAAAAAGGACACAAGCAGTGTAAAATTAAATAGACATAGATAGAACACCAAGATTGGTGCAGATTAATAGATTGGTCGATATTTTAGGTCTCATTGTCAACATTCAGGGCACATGTGGTGATTGACAATTTCTATCTCTGTATTGTTTAAATACTGACTGTTGCTTGTTAATATATTTCTTATATGAATTGATAATTAGAATTCCGCCAAATACAAATTCCAAAATTCCTGCCTCTCTGTGTCTTTGTTGAATTTTTGTATTTTGGTCATCTCGAAATACTAATACTATGATTACTAATAATTACAACGTTTTGGCGTGGCGATGTTACTAAAGAACCTTGGAAAGTTTCCTATAAACGGTTCACCGCAGGAAATTGCTGATTATCTTGAATGCTTCGACGCATGGTGCATGTCAAGCAATGTTCGGGATGACAAAAATTCCAGCTCATATCATTACTGCTATTGGGCTAGATGCGTATGGCCTAGTGAAGACTCTGTTATTTCCAGATAAACCCATTTCTCTGCCATATTTTTTAAAATTTTTTTTTTAATTTTTGATTACAGCTTGACTCCACACTGTATTTTTGGTACAAGTATGGAATTTTCAGCGTGGATATCGGTAGCCCAAATTTTGCAGGCCGACCATAGATATCAAGAGTGCGTCGGCGAGGGCTCGAATCCCGGACCATGTGCATGGTCGACGAGAATCCTAACCACTGTGCCACCGACGCACACAAGCTCCGTGAACTTCTGATACGCCACTTTCATATAACTACTCCTGAGACCAGAGAGGGGGCTCAGTTCAACAAACTGGTTCGTGCTCCCAACCAGAAGATTAGAGACTTCATTCTTCAACTTCAAATACAAGCTTCAAAGTGCAACTTTGGAGATCAACTGCATACTCAACTACGTGATCGTCTAATTTCTGGGATCAATATTCCTAAGTTAGAGAAAGAATTAATTCAGATTCCTTCCTGTACCTTTCAAACTGCTAAAGATTTATGTATTACATATGAAGATGTCAACAGTGAATACTCTGCTCCCACTACGTCAGTATCTGATGTCATGCTGTCCAAAGTCGAAAATACAAGTGTTCATGGAAAGCAATCCAAACTGTCGTCCACATGTAATAAATAAAATGCAGCGAGAGATCAAAAACATTAGACCGTGTTTTTCATGTGGAAAGATTCATCTACCAAGCACTTGCCATTTTCGTGGGGGTAAGTGTCATAAATGTGGTAAAGTTGGACACATCAAGTCTGTTTGCAGAAGTTCGAATAGTTATGTCACTCAGAATTCTTATAATTCTCCCAATCTGTCTAGTAAAATGGAGTCAATGTGTCTTTTAACTTTTCAAAATACTCAATCTCATCCAATGAAAACCTTCACTACAAGTTCAGCAACTCAAGCGTCAACTGTGTCACGTGTTTTCGAAAATGAGGTAGCCGAGTTACAATGCGAACTGTCGAAAACACGAAAAAAGTGAGTGAAATGGAAGCTGGCTGGTTGTCCATTCGTCAACAGCTGACTGAGATGAGAGAGCAACTGATTAAAATGGAGGAATTGCTGCATATGCATAGATTGCGTCTGTTGAATGCCGAACATACAAGTACCCATGAAAGTCCTGCAAAACTTTTCAAATCTCGAATTCTCAGAAAGCATCTGATGTACACGACCTCTAATGTACATTATTACAGAGGGAATGACTATAGACCTTCTGCTGGAATCATACTACAAAAAATGGGAAATCGAGTGGTGAAGATATTAGACATCAAAGATCACTCAGTTCATAACAGACACCTGGACAAAGTGACAATAAATGAAGTAGGTCGTTTCGATTATAATTTTAATGATTCCGCTACTAATCTTGATTTTGTAGATAATTCAGAAATAAGTCCAGATGATACTGATGAAAATTATATCACAGAATCGGTTAGAAGGTCGCAGCTACTTGCAAGCAAACCGAGACATCATTATAAATACGCAAGGAGATATTCGACGTGTGGCGGATGTGGTGATTGACAATTTCCATCTCTGAATTGTTTAAATACTGACTGATGCTTGTTAATATATTTCTCATATGAATTGATAATTAGAATTCCGCCAAATACAAATCCCTAAATTCATCCCTCTCTGTGTCTTGGTTGAATTCTTGTAATTCGCTCACCTTGAAATACTAATACTACTGTTTGAAAAACTTACAACAGCACCGTATAGGCTTTCCTAATGTTGTAATGCACGTGATTGGTCTTATAGTTCCATTGGCACATGATACACAAAAGTAATAGTTAGTTACCTGTAGTAAGTGTAGAACAAATGTCCTTCAAGTAAGGGCAATTAGATACAGAGCAGTGCTAACATGTGGAACAAGTTGTCTGATGACTTACATTCACAGGTATGTTATTTGATATAATTAAAAAACGTACACATGCCCTTCACATAGTTATTATCAAACAGCTACCTATATATAAACACACTTTTATATCCTTTAACTAATCACTCAGTGTGTGGTTTTGGTTTACATTAAACGACATGAAATAGAATTTCCAAATAAATATATAGAGCGTTCTGTTGCTAATGCCTATATTGAACTATAGGGAAAGTATTCTTCCCCTGGAAACAAATAGAATCTTCAAATATACACAGTATTCTGTTGCTAATCCCGTAGTGAACTGAACTGTGGGAGTATGTGAGAATAATATTCCGTTGGAATACATTCTCTGCACCACACCACCACACTATGTAGAAAATGGACCAATCAAAGTTTTAGCGTAGCAAACCAAGAGACAAGATATCGATGCACACATCAGTTTCAGGTAACATGTCTCTTTCTCTATCTCTGCTTATCTTATTATATTATATTTATTACTACGCTTCCACGGGAGATGCTTTTATTTCCTAGTACTATATTTATGCCTATTATCACTTTCACATGTTCTAACTCTAATCTACTCACCTCAGTCATTTGATATTAGTTAAAAAAAACCAAACACACTGATGTTGTCAACGTCGCGTATTCCTTAACTAATTGGGATATATAACCAACCCCTGAGACGTGATGGATAGGTTATAAAAAAAGGAATATTCTTTTCCCACTAGTCAGACATTGGAAGGAGGATTTCATTTGAAGAAGGAATATTTGTTTATATGTGATTTCGGTGAATCATTTTTGTATGAAATTCTTACTGCATTTCAGAAGCGCTTCTCAAGTATTCAGGGTTCACTTGACAAATGAATAGACTCGAGTAGAAATATTTTACCCACTCATTGATTCCAACGGAAGTTTCCTTCAACAGTATCCAGTTTATAAATGAATGTCTCAATAGTTTTAACTATCTATTAAAATTAGTCACATGATGATGAACTCGAACATGAATTAAAATTAGTTGAAAATTAGTTTGTATTTATTTTCAAAGAAAAACACTACCAAATAATGTTTTAATCTTAGCTTGGTGAAGCTTCGACTGATTTCAAATGGGATCATGTCAGGAGCCAACATACAAGGCGAATACGTTAAGATTTAACCAGTGGAACAGAGCTGGATGACTACTCACGAAGGTAGTGAGTTATCTGTGTGATGTGGTCACTTGTGAGTACTTCTGAAGAGGAGTCTCGAGCTACAGTGATGGAAAATAGCTATCTAGTACTTCTTGTATTTCAGTGGTTCAGTGGTTCTCTGATTAATGTCACATCTTCACTCACGGCTAATAATTATTCTTTCTAGTGGAGTGAATTCATTCACTTCCATCGAATTACAGATTAGTGAATAAATAAATAAAACCTTCTCGGTATTTATATTCATTGAGTATGTTTTTCTTCGTAGAGTTTCAATCACAGGTAACTTCGACAAAACTCCTTCCCACCCACGTATTCGAAAAGATTTTCATTAACCTTAAAAATACGGTTTAACATAAATCAAAAGATTATCCAGTGCACCGATGAGCAACAAAAACAGGAGTTGAATGCTAGCTACAATTCACTGAACAAAAGAGTGAAGGAGAGTGCCAGGGAAGACAAAAGAAAATATTAGGAAACCTTGGCAAACGAAGCAGAAGAAGCTGCAGACAAGGGAGGCCTTGCCACACTCTACCAAACAACTAGGAACCTAGCGGGAACTATAAGACCAATCACGTGCATTACAACATTAGGAAAGCCTATACGGTGCTGTTGTAAGTTTTTCAAACAGTAGTATTAGTATTTCAAGGTGAGCGAATTACAAGAATTCAACCAAGACACAGAGAGGGATGAATTTAGGGATTTGTATTTGGCGGAATTCTAATTATCAATTCATATGAGAAATATATTAACAAGCATCAGTCAGTATTTAAACAATTCAGAGATGGAAATTGTCAATCACCACATCCGCCACACGTCGAATATCTCCTTGCGTATTTATAATGATGTCTCGGTTTGCTTGCAAGTAGCTGCGACCTTCTAACCGATTCTGTGATATAATTTTCATCAGTATCATCTGGACTTATTTCTGAATTATCTACAAAATCAAGATTAGTAGCGGAATCATTAAAATTATAATCGAAACGACCTACTTCATTTATTGTCACTTTGTCCAGGTGTCTGTTATGAACTGAGTGATCTTTGATGTCTAATATCTTCACCACTCGATTTCCCATTTTTTGTAGTATGATTCCAGCAGAAGGTCTATAGTCATTCCCTCTGTAATAATGTACATTAGAGGTCGTGTACATCAGATGCTTTCTGAGAATTCGAGATTTGAAAAGTTTTGCAGGACTTTCATGGGTACTTGTATGTTCGGCATTCAACAGACGCAATCTATGCATATGCAGCAATTCCTCCATTTTAATCAGTTGCTCTCTCATCTCAGTCAGCTGTTGACGAATGGACAACCAGCCAGCTTCCATTTCACTCACTTTTTTCGTGTTTTCGACAGTTCGCATTGTAACTCGGCTACCTCATTTTCGAAAACACGTGACACAGTTGACGCTTGAGTTGCTGAACTTGTAGTGAAGGTTTTCATTGGATGAGATTGAGTATTTTGAAAAGTTAAAAGACACATTGACTCCATTTTACTAGACAGATTGGGAGAATTATAAGAATTCTGAGTGACATAACTATTCGAACTTCTGCAAACAGACTTGATGTGTCCAACTTTACCACATTTATGACACTTACCCCCACGAAAATGGCAAGTGCTTGGTAGATGAATCTTTCCACATGAAAAACACGGTCTAATGTTTTTGATCTCTCGCTGCATTTTATTTATTACATGTGGACGACAGTTTGGATTGCTTTCCATGAACACTTGTATTTTCGACTTTGGACAGCATGACATCAGATACTGACGTAGTGGGAGCAGAGTATTCACTGTTGACATCTTCATATGTAATACATAAATCTTTAGCAGTTTGAAAGGTACAGGAAGGAATCTGAATTAATTCTTTCTCTAACTTAGGAATATTGATCCCAGAAATTAGACGATCACGTAGTTGAGTATGCAGTTGATCTCCAAAGTTGCACTTTGAAGCTTGTATTTGAAGTTGAAGAATGAAGTCTCTAATCTTCTGGTTGGGAGCACGAACCAGTTTGTTGAACTGAGCCCCCTCTCTGGTCTCAAAAGTAGTTATATGAAAGTGACGTATCAGAAGTTCACGGAGCTTGTGTGCGTCGGTGGCACAGTGGTTAGGATTCTCGCCGACCATGCACATGGTCCGGGATTCGAGCCCTCGCCGACGCACTCTTGATATCTATGGTCGGCCTGCAAAATTTGGGCTACCGATATCCACGCTGAAAATTCCATACTTGTACCAAAAATACAGTGTGGAGTCAAGCTGTAATCAAAAATTAAAAAAAAAATTTTAAAAAATATGGCAGAGAAATGGGTTTATCTGGAAATAACAGAGTCTTCACTAGGCCATACGCATCTAGCCCAATAGCAGTAATGATATGAGCTGGAATTTTTGTCATCCCGAACATTGCTTGACATGCACCATGCGTCGAAGCATTCAAGATAATCAGCAATTTCCTGCGGTGAACCGTTTATAGGAAACTTTCCAAGGTTCTTTAGTAACATCGCCACGCCAAAACGTTGTAATTATTAGTAATCATAGTATTAGTATTTCGAGATGACCAAAATACAAAAATTCAACAAAGACACAGAGAGGCAGGAATTTTGGAATTTGTATTTGGCGGAATTCTAATTATCAATTCATATAAGAAATATATTAACAAGCAACAGTCAGTATTTAAACAATACAGAGATAGAAATTGTCAATCACCACATGTGCCCTGAATGTTGACAATGAGACCTAAAATATCGACCAATCTATTAATCTGCACCAATCTTGGTGTTCTATCTATGTCTATTTAATTTTACACTGCTTGTGTCCTTTTTTGTTTCAGTAGTACGCTCTTGCTCTTCATAAAACATTAGATAAATGTTAATATCTGTGCACAAATTAGTGAGAAACTGAACACAGAACTGTCTGTCAATTTATAAGACATGTTCAGTTCAATGGAATTCTTGAGAAAAAGATTTTACTCCATCATTCTATTATTGTGATTTTATCGCCTATAACATTGATAATGTTACTTTTATATAAGGTAAAACCAGAGAAAGAGACACTCTAGTGAAGCAAAATGAAGACATGATATATGCAAGTGCTATTCTAACAGCAGAAGGCAAGACACAGAAGCTAAGGTATATTTTCAAGTGATCAAACAGGCATTTATATATAAACCCACTTTTATATCCTTTAACTAATCACTCAGTGTGTGGTTTTGGTTTACATTAAACGACATGAAATAGAATTTCCAAATAAATATATAGAGCGTTCTGTTGCTAATGCCTATATTGAACTATAGGGAAAGTATTCTTCCCCTGGAAACAAATAGAATCTTCAAATATACACAGTATTCTGTTGCTAATCCCGTAGTGAACTGAACTGTGGGAGTATGTGAGAATAATATTCCGTTGGAATACATTCTCTGCACCACACCACCACACTATGTAGAAAATAGACCAATCAAAGTTGTAGTGTAGCAAACCAAGAGACAAGATATCGATGCACACATCAGTTTCAGGTAACATGTCTCTTTCTCTATCTCTGCTTATCTTGCCTATAACATTTCCTTTCTCTGTTCTCACTTATAAGTAAACACTTTAGAACTGTATTCATCAATAGAAAGTACGCATGCAATATGAATTATGCAGAAGTAACTTCGCCTCCTGTTTGCATTTAATTATTCAATTTTTCTGATATACAAGTCAACACATTTCATCATCTTCAGTATTATACACACTTTGATCATTATCAATTTTAAACTCACTTTATCGACTGCCTTCCAAAGTTATTCTAGTCGTATTGCACAATACATACAGAATGTAGATTCTGTCACAAACAAAACTCGTCTCGAGTTGAGAAAAAAAAACCAGAGGGCGTTACAGGATTTCATCCTGAGCTGAAATTGGTTGGAGAACCATTGGAAAACCGGCAGGGACTAGTGGACAGTTGTTTCGTCCTACCTTGGGACTAAGTAGAATGTCCTTGTTTCGAGTCCCGGTGGGTGCGTACTGTTGAGGAGTTTTAGATTTTATTCATTTCTACTATTTATAGTTAATTTGTCAATATACATTCTTTAAGAATTCAGAACTAGTTGGATCCAGTAATATGAAAAGCAGATATGTACTTTGTGTATTTGAAAAAAGAAGTTATATTTTATGACAACAAATCAGGAGACGTGTTAATAATATATACATATGTATATATATATATATATCAACATTGCTACTTTGATTGTCTTCCCGATTGTTATTTACGGTGTTAAGTCACACCGTACATACACACATAGATTGTAATCTCAAAGTTTTGAGTTTTAAGGGGAAACAGTGACATATTTCCACCCGGACCTGTTTGATTTGCTTTTGTTTTGTTGAACTGTATATTTAAGGTTAATGAAAAGCTTTTGTCCAAGTTACCTGTGATTGAAACTCTTCGGAGAAAAACATACCCAATAAGTATAAATACCCAGAAGGATTTATTTATTTATTCACTAATCTGTAATTCGATGGAAGTGAATGAATTCACTCCACTAGAAAGAATAATTATTAGGCGTGAGTGAAGATGTGACATTAGTCAGAGAACCACTGAACCACTGAAATACAAGAAGTACTAGATAGCTATTTTCCATCACTGTAGCTCGAGACTCCTCTTCAGAAGTACTCACAAGTGACCACATCACACAGATAACTCACTACCTTCGTGAGTAGTCATCCAGCTCTGTTCCACTGGTTAAATCTTAACGTATTCGCCTTGTGTGTTGGCTCCTGACATGATCCATTTGAAATCAGTCGAAGCTTCACCAAGCTAAGATTAAAACATTATTTGGTAGTGTTTTTCTTTGAAAATAAATACAAACTAATTTTCAACTAATTTTAATTCATGTTCGAGTTCATCATCATGTGACTAATTTTAATAGATAGTTAAAACTATTGAGACATTCATTTATAAACTGGATACTGTTGAAGGAAACTTCCGTTGGAATCAATGAGTGGGTAAAATATTTCTACTCGAGTCTATTCATTTGTCAAGTGAACCCTGAATACTTGAGAAGCGCTTCTGAAATGCAGTAAGAATTTCATACAAAAATGATTCACCGAAATCACATATAAACAAATATTCCTTCTTCAAATGAAATCCTCCTTCCAATGTCTGACTAGTGGGAAAAGAATATTCCTTTTTTTATAACCTATCCATCACGTCTCAGGGGTTGGTTATATATCCCAATTAGTTAAGGAATACGCGTCGTTGACAACATCAGTGTGTTTGGTTTTTTTTTAACTAATATCAAATGACTGAGGTGAGTAGATTAGAGTTAGAACATGTGAAAGTGATAATAGGCATAAATATAGTACTAGGAAATAAAAGCATCCCCCGTGGAAGGGTAGTAATAAATGACGGGTGTGAGGAACTGATTGATTTTATGACGGTAGGTTACACCTGAAAAGTGTGACGTGATGTGTTGTTCACGAACCGATGGAGAGTGGAGCGAACCTGGGTAAGATTACTCGCTGTGCTTGACTCCCCTTTGTGAATGAAGTCTCGGCTATTATAGGCGAAGAAGAGGTTATAGAAAAGAATCTTTTTTCTCTGCAATCAGTAATTTGAAAATTTTATCGTGCACATTTCGATATCCACTACTACTAATACTACTACTTCGTTTGAAGACGTTTAGCTTCAGAGCGTTCTCATTCCACTTCTGACTTTTCATGAACTCAAATAGTAAGTACATGTCTTAGTTATGCAGTGAGTGTAGAGATAAATGTTGGATTCGTGAGTCTACAAACCAATCATTTGTCATTTGTTAACTTTCAACATTGATTTCAATTTACTCATTATTGGAGTTCTTCAAATCTTTTGACTCTTGAATCATATCATTCCTAATATTATTTTACAGACTGTTGCACTAAGAACAACAGAGAGAAATATTAGTTCAATGTATATTGTGTGTCGAAGAATACGAGATTTATTATTAGACAATGGTAAGTTGAATCCCTATGGTTATAACTATTATTTATATATTCGCACGCCTTATCATCACTAGGCCTTCCAATCGTTATTAGGCTTGAAATGATTCCTGGATGCTTAGCATCATGTTGGAGATTCCAGGATGAGAAGAAAGCGAATACCTCAGGATTGAAGATTTGTGTGACACTTCCGGAGAATCGCGAGATCGGAGTAATCCCGTTTGTCAATAATAAGACCAGGTGAAGATAGTGAAAATGAACCATTATTATGGATATTATTGATAAATGTCAATCCGAATGATGGCTAGGAGCTCGTGAATCCCAGCTAATTAAAAGTTATTAATTATGGGTCTTCACAGACTTTTGAATGAATTCTGATGAGAGTTGATCCAGAAGTAATGTTTTTGTTGTTTATTTAACAATAATAATAATAATAATGATAATAATTTTTTGCTTTATTCCAAAAACAGTACTAATGATACAGCAAGGAATTTTCAGCAGTCAGTACAATATTGCATCTAATTTACTCAAAAACGACAAAAAAATTAATAATACACATTACATAATGATAGTAATAATAAGACGATTGTTATAGCAGCTACAGAGCAAAGTACTGTATGCAATACGGAGAAAAATATACATAAAGTATGAAATTGTAGTAATAATAGTAATACAAACTAAAATAAAATAGTAGAGTTATAATTAAACGATAGAAAGTGTGATACCATAAAATACAGAAAGATGAACAATGAAAGGGGCGGTACAATGTGCTAATTACATAGTAGTTTATGTGTTTCACGTCTAACAGAGTCGTCGTCACATAAAGTACGGGCTAAATAGGGTATTGTAGAATTTCTGTACTTAGTGGTACGAGCATATAACTTTTTACATTGACTTCTCGTCCTACCTGATGAGACACAAGAGGGTTATTTATTTATTATTATTGTATCCTTTAGTTCCTAGAGGAACATAGGGCTTCAGCTGCGCACCTCCATTGACTTCGGTTTTCTGACATCTTTTTCACCCTGCTCGAGGTCTGTCCACATGCTTTCATCTCCTCCTCGCATGACCTCCTCCAAGTCACCCTTGGACGACCAACTCGCCGCCCGCTTCCCTTTCGGGTTCCACTCGAGGGCTTGTCTAGTGATGTCACTTGATGGTTTCCTCAGCGTATGGCCAATCCATCTCCATTTCTTTCTGCCTATTTGTTTCACAATCGGTTCCTGGTTGGTTCGCTCCCAGAGATCCCTGTTGCTGATCTTTTCTGGCCATCTGATTTGAGTATTGAGCGGAGACAGTTGTTAATGAAGGTTTGAAGTTTGTTTGAGATGCTCTTTATGACTCGCCAAGTCTCTGATTCGTATAGTAGCACTGACTTCCCATTGGAGTTGAAAATCCAGATCTTATTTTTGATGCTGATTGCTGTTGACCTCCACACAGATTTGAGAGTAATGAAAGCTTGTCTTGCTTTTCCGATTCTGGCTTTGATGTCCTCGTCAGTTCCGCCTGTAGTTGAGACGATGCTTCCCAGGTAGGTGAAGGAGGTTGTTTCTTTCAGGTTCTTCCCATTTATGCTTATTGTGGTCTGTTGGTGTTGTTGATGTTGGCTAGGAATCTTCATCATCTCTGTTTCATCTATGTTCACGTGAAGTCCTATCTTTGATGCTTCTTCTGTCAACTTGTTGCTTTTCACTTGCATATCTTCCAGTTTGTGGGAAATCAGACATATATCATCATCGGCGAAGTGCAGATCCTCCAAGTCCCCTTTTTGTGTGAGTCCATTTTATGCCTGTTCCTTCGTTGGTCGCCGTTGTCTGTCGCATTATCCAATCAATTGCAATCAGGAAGATCATTGGTGATAGTAGGCAGCCAGCTTGCCTCACTCCCGTCCTCACTTCGAAGGCTTCCGTAAGTTTCCCGTTGTGGATTACTTGGAATGCAGCATTGTCGTATAACTGTTGGATGAGATGTATAATTGTCTAAAGGACCCCGTAGTAGCGAAGTAGTTGCCAAATGACCTCTCGATCGACGCTGTCGAAGGCCTTTTCAAAGTCGATGAAGTTGAGATAGAGAGGTGACTGCCATTCCAAGCTTTGTTCAATGATGATCCGTAGAGTGGCGATTTGATCAATACATGATTTGTTTCTCCTGAATCCAGCCTGTTCCGGACGAAGTTTTTCATCTAGGGCTTGTTTGATTCTCTCAGGATGATGCGACTTAGTATCTTGCTTGGAATGGACAGAAGCATAATTCCACGCCAGTTTTTACATTGACTTAAGTCTCCTTTCTTTGGAAGTTTGAATAAGTAACTGTTCTTCCAATCCTCGGGTACTTTGCCCTCTTTCCACACCTTCTCCAGCAGTGGCGTCATCAAGTCCGCTGTTGTCTCTGGGTCTATTTTCAAAGCTTCTGCTGGGATTCCATCTGGTCCCGGTGTTTTCCCAGCTTTAAGCATCTTGATTGCATTCAGGACTTCTGATTTCGTCGGGGGGTCAGTGTTGTTGTGAATAAAGGGGGTGCGGAGTGTCTGACAGTATAGCCTTTGCCCATTTCGTACAGGAATTTACATGCCTCGCGACTATAGTATTGGCGAGCTCACGCAGTGGCAGACCACAAGCCCTACTCACTGCATTTAATACTCTTCATAATATGATACAGTCTTTTTCGAGAAGCCCAGGAAAGACTAATGGAGAGAGATGGAGCACAATAGGTAAAATACAGGAGTTTAAAAATTGCAAAACTAAAGGTTGGTTGATACCTGATTGTCTTAACATTTTTTTAATGTAGAAGGTTGTAGACGAAACATTTTCTTAGAAATAGATAAGATGTGGGATGGCCATGAGAGGTCAGAGGAAAGAACTAATCCAAGGTATTTAATGCTTGACTTGGTTTCAATTTCAGTGCCATCTATGCTGCAGGCATGATGGGAACTAACTAGTTCATGTAAGTCACGTCGTTGCTTGAAAGTAAAGTTAACTGCCTGACATTTGGAGGGATTTAACATAGGACCATTTGACTTAGACCACTTGTTGATGTCCAACAGAAAGCTATTAAGTTTGGAGCTGTCAGACTCGGAAGTGATAGGCAGTGATACAGTCAGATTGTCTGGATATTTGACAAAGTAAGTTTCGTTTGAATGAGGCAGGTCGTGTAGGAAGAAAGAGAAAAGAAAAGGAGAGAGAATAGCACATTGAGGAACACCGGATTTTGTAAGCGAGGTAGAAGAAGATTTCCCATTATATACAGTATACTGCATTCTATCAGAAAAATAAGAATGCAACCGACTCTTAGCCCAGGATCCTGTTTGTGTCAACGATAGCTTATTTAGTAAAACGCCCCTAGGTACAGAGTCAAAAGTAGATGTGTAGTCTAAGAAAGCACTACGAACATATTTGGCACCTTTGTCTAAACAAGAAACAACATTGTGGTATAAGACAACCGCAGAATCCAACATACTTCTACCATGTTTGTATGCGAATTGTCTAGGATCATTAAAAGGTTTCAATGAAGGTTCAAGACGAAGTAAGAGTATATTTATTACTATCATTGTTATATTATTATTTTTCAATCAATTTTAAAAAAGGAGAAGTAATTGCAGTAGTCCGAAATTTTATATCAGTACCAGAGGATGGGTTTGGTATGGGGATAATTTTAATGTTTTCCACGCAAAAGGTAGAACGTTACCGGAAAAGGAAGCATTAAAAATGTTAGTAAGAGAGTAACACAAAATATCAGCACAGTTCCTGAGGACAATGGCAGTTACGTCATCAGGACCAAGGCTTTGGGAAGGCTTAAGAGACCGGAGACATTTAAGCACATCAAGGGTATTAAAACCACTACAATTATTGTCAATATGATTTGTATCATTAGGAAGGATATCGACAGAAGAGGGTATGAGAGACTTATTAGGAGTGTCGACATTAAGAGATGGGACAGAAGTATATCGCTTACCGCTAGTAATTTCTTTGAAAAGTTACCACAAATTAGAAGGGACATTACATGACAAAAATCTTATTATTATTATTATGATTATTAATAAGTCCTAAGTCAGATTCTCGATAAGGCTGAAGACAACGTGACATTCAAAGTGGAGACAAATTTTATCGGCTCAGAGACCCAATAGATCGAATTAGGAAGAATAATGTAGTTTACGAAATAACATGCAATAACTGAGAAATGAATTCTATGCATGAGACTAGGAGGACGGTGTTAGTTATATATTATCGGAGAATCTCATTTCTTGTACATCTGATCAGCTAACGTCGTCAGCTAACCTGAAACACGGTGTGGACGTTGTCTGTACCTCAGCCTAATTTTGCTTTCGTGGTTAGAACAATTATTGGTCAACTGGCTTCCCGGACTCTTTCACACACTGTTACATCCATCGTGGGATTGTCGCGTCTTCCTGATTTCGGGAAACAATAAGTCTATTTTTCCTGTGCTTCGGATTTCTCCTGAGGAGATTGGGGGCGGGTGTCTTTCATGACGATTGTTTCTTCACTTACGGGTTAAGGACTGGCCGGTAAATTAGGTGAGATTTGAAACAAATAATTAGTATATGCATCAAAGGCCGAATTATTTCGAAACTCGTATCATTGTATAGGCATGATTAGTCAGAATTGTTTACTTACTCATACTGATTGTATATTGTACATTGAAATATTTATTTATTTATTTATTTGTTCTTTACACTACAGCAAAAGCAATCGACAATAGTATTTATGCTTCGAAATCTTTAAATTCAATGAGCTATCAACTAAATTCAGATAAATTATGGCCGAATGATATTTTCAAGTCGAACAATCAATACAAAGAGGTAGAAAGATTTTCAAATAGGTGAGTCAGTCAGATCTTGTAGGCATATTTGCCAATTACATGTTTCACAAGTCCATTAAATAATCCAGAAAATATTATGACTACGTTTTACTGACTCATCATGATATTATTCAGTTGAAATGAAAAGAAGCACGATGACAACTAGATCTGACAACAATAGTGAAGTGTATTCATTTTTGAGTAGATTTTACTATTATTATCATCATCATCATTTTTATTATTACAAGTAGTAGTCATCCTTCGTTGCTTTGCGTACCCGGTGGAACATAGGGCTTGCTTCAGGCTAGAGCATTGAAGTTTCATTAGGAGTGGTTTTATTTCTACGGGATGGTGGTTGCTCGCCTCACTCCTAACCTTCCCTCTTTACAGGGGTTTCTACAGGCTGAGTGAGTTGAAGGAGTGCATCAGCCGTGTACGAAACCCGTGCCGCTTACTAGATTGGTCAGCCTCCTACTTCTGAACCACTGACGTACCACGGTGGCTCAATGGTCTTCTAGCATGACTCTCAACTGGAAATTCGCGAATCCGAACCCCGGCGCCTCCATATTCATCAACAATCCACAAAAAAACCACGAAACAACCATTTCAGGACGGAAATTTAACGAGATGTATGTAGGGAGAGAGAATGCAGAAACTGCAGAATATGATTGATTCCATGTTTGATTAGCTGATTTGATATCACAGAATGTGATACAGTGCTAATGGCTGAATGGTGTCTCGAGAAGAATTTATCGCCTATCATCATATCAGTGAGTTAACAAGACTTCACAACTTGCTCTGTAAAACCTAACTCCTGTTTTCATTTATAATTTTCCGGACACCTATACTTTCAAGACATCCTCTGTAATGAACAACGCTGAGGCTAGTCAGTGAACATTTTTCTCTATAAAACATTTCCTTTCATGTAAAACTGTGTGTGTAGAAAGGCTTCGTTTTCACTGACGATGAATTCAGTATGACTGGAGTGACTGGCTAGTGAAAAGTGCAGAGGCGAACATTAATTGATACTATGAATTGTCTTCACAGTGGATCTATGCCTTGATGAGAGCACGTAAAATAACCTTGGAATGACAGACAGGTATAAATGTCATAGGTGATGACTGAAGTTGGCCCGTTGATTTAAGCCATGGCAAGATATAAATCAGCGTACTGCAGATCACTAAGATGGCTGTTGTTAATTCGCAGTGTGTGCGTGTATGTCAGTTTGTATGTTTGTGTGTGTGTGTGTGTGCGTTGAGTGTGTTGTCCAATAACTGTTTATTTCCACTCTCCAGTGTTTAACTACTTTTTCGAGTGAGCGTCTTGTATACATTCTTGTATGTGTGTAGTATTTATCCATGTTGCATTGATGTGTGCGTGTATGCCTCTTTCAATCTATGTCTGTTTGTGTGTGTGTGTGTGTGTGTGTGTGAATGTGAGCTATGAGATCATAAGGAGAAATTAAATCAATGTACTTTTTCATTAGCCTGTTTATCTACTCCACATTGCTGTATACACACTGTTTATTCATATTATAAGCAAGTATTGATTATTTTTAACGCTTAGTCATCATCTTCTATCTAACATGTCGATTTGAAAGTGTTAAAACGTTTACTTCCCACATTGTGTTTATGTACACTTTTGTTTCCAACGTCTAATCAAAAAGAAATTGTTTGGTTTATGATTAAAATGTGTGAGTCAGTGTCATAGCGGTTAGGACGCTCGCCGACCATGCACATGCTCCGAGGTTCGATTGGCGACCACTGACTCACTCGCTTACCTCGCTAAGCCAGAAGTAATGCTGGTAAAGAGGAAAGGTTGGGAATGAGGCTAACAACCCCATCCTGTAACACTAAACACTGCTAGAGAGACTTCTATCCACTAGCTTGAAGCCCTATGTTCCAGTGGGGAACGTGAAGGAAAGAAATGATAAAAATGTTGTTTTTTCTATTTTCAATCAGTTACTATGGTTTCTCACTCATTCTTGTTGGAAAACAGTCACCATGATATCAGAGATAAATAAACTAAGTGACACGAAGATGAAGCAATAGTCACAAGGAATCATTGTCAAATACAAAGTCGATTCAAGCATGAAACTATGGATCTGGAATTATTTATGCTCTCTGAGCTTGTTGGTTCAATTGGGGAGCTTTCTTCCTCCTTCTGGACAACATCCGCCCCTTTCAGCGCAAGCTTTAGCATGAAAGCAACTGATTTCAATTCTCTGTGAATGGTAGAATTGTGTCTCCTGCTGGTGACTATCTTCATGACTGCCAGTCGACTTATATCTGTTTTGATCATTTCTATTGACTTGGATTTTGAACTTTCTCGTCACATGATTTACCTTTTATTACTTGGTCGATTTGGTCTATGTTAGCATGTTTGTTAATCGCGTATTCGCTTGGGTACCGGGCTTCTAGGAATTCTCTGGCACTTTTGGTATTTCCTCTGTATAGAATTTCGACATTATTCCAATAAAATTAATGTCCATAATTATCTACATGCATTGATATGGAAGAATATGCATATCATGTCTTTTCACAGCTAATTTGTGTTCCTGGATTCTGATTCGAAGCGGACACCCACTTTGGCCGATGTAATGTCTGTTACATTCATACATACAATTTATTTTCTTAATAGTATTAGTTTTATCTTCTTTTTCTGTTGGATCTTTCGGTTTCCACAATATCAAACAAAGTGTTCGTGCTGGCTGTGTTAGTTCTCCTGAAGATGTTGTCCAGCAGGACGACGAAAGCTCCACAATTAAAACAACCGCCTCAGAGAACACAACTAGTTGCGAATCATCCACGTGAGCTACAAATCTTCTCTATTATTTCCAAACGATGATCGTATTCGCAGTGGGTTTTCTGCCCAATGGATCATCATAATCTCCAGGGTAATAATCCCACAGCCATCGCTTCCGATTTCCCCATCGCGGTCAATGGAATCATTTAGACATAAATCACACGACACAATCCAATAATCTATCGCTCTTGTTTTTTGATAAAACAATTGAATTATGTAGTCATTTGAACACTTAGCACTAACCAGCTATTGTAATCAGGAGTCAAGTGAGAGGCGGGATAATTGAGTTTCGGTGTATTCGGTATGCTGGTCAGCTACTGATGTGTTGTAGATTATCAATGAGTTGGTATTCAGACGAGACTACTTGTTGGCATTTGAATGTTCGAGTGACATACCAGATAGCATTGGTGCCCAAAACTCAAAGGAAGTAATCAACTGGATGTGATGCAGTGAGTGCTAACTAATGAGACACAAGTATCTAATATGAGTGTTATGACTGACGTTGTGCATAATGTTCTTAAACATTTTGAAGTGCTCAGACAGACGTTGTGACTGTTAGGAAACGGAGCTGGGATGTGTTTCATTGCATTTGTTTTTGTCAATGTACACATAATGATATATGTGCAATTGTTTGTTTCTATGAATGTGAAAAACGTAATTTAGAGGGAGAATGACTTTCGATGATACAGAGGGTTGTTCAACAATCAATCAAGAAGAGGGGAATAAAGAGAACATGACGTTGATTGCTCCACCGTTATCATCATATTCAACACCAGCAACAACATCGATGAAGCCAATTGTTAATACTATTACAATAATCCATTCGGTGGAGGAATGAATTCCTGTCGTCATCATCATCATCATGAGAAGGATGGTCTGCGTTTAATGAGCTATGAATCCAATGCAGAATGGCAATTGAAATCTGACAGTATTGTAACCGATAACAATAGAATATGGAAAGGATATGACGATTTCAATCGAAGCCTCAATATACAAGCAAATGAAACGTATGTCTTCTAGTTGCAGTGTATTTTGAAAACAAGTTATTTTTACTTTCAGTTTGTTAGTTTGTATATTTATGCTTCATAGTAAATTACCGGATATACATATATATTGAGCATTGATGCTCAGTCATTTGACTGTGAGAGTTTAGTGACTTTTATGGGGTTTTGACAGACCGAGTATTACAGATGTTTCTGAAGTAACTGTGTGGTGTGTAGGGATTTGATTTGTGTCAAGGTAGATTACTATACGGGCTGACAGGATTTAGAGAACCACTGAAAATCAGGGAGCACCAGACACTGGTCACGACTTCTCACTGAAACTCCAGGAAGTACATCCTGTGGCCAGTAGTCACTAGAAAATTATTCCACTAGTGATTTGTGACTTTGAGATGGTCTTCGTGGAGTTCCAATTAGAAGTTGTGGTTCGTGGAATAGATACTCGTGAGTGGTATGGAAGCTAATTCGTGGTTGGAGAGAAGTTAGAATTCACGGATCATTGGAGTACAGCCGGATGGCTGGATAGCCAATGGGCTGACATCGTAAGCTGTTTTGCTCATGGTTGCACGGAAGCCAGCAGGGACAAACAAAATCTATCCAATGCTCTCTGTCCATCTCATCCATATATATATATATATATATATATGCATATGAAGTATACTTGATTTGCTCAATAACTGGGGAATTCACCTGTAGTTATCTATAGTCACCAGTGTCTGTTTGTCCGCGAATATGACACAGTGAACCCCGAAACCAATGACACCTCATAAGACCACTGAAAACCCGACCCGGGATAAATTGTTGGATTTGTGAAATTTCGATTTCTAGTTGATGTGGCTGTCACGAGATTGATGAGTGAATATCGAGACGTTTTTTCATTGTACTGTGGTGACTGGATTTTAGTGGGAAATCTTAACATAGGTGATGACTTTTGAGATACACGTAAGTAATTTTGAGGATAAATACTCTTCAACGACATTAGTTTGAATTGAGTCGTATCTCGAATTTACGGTAGTTGGGATTCACACCTAATGGGATGGAGGTCGGTAACTGGATTCTAATGCAATTCTCTCATGGTCTGAAGGTCTTAGGATGGACTCTGATTGGAGTCACAAAAGGAGGAAGAAACAACTGAGTGTCGGTCTTCAGTTGTCAGGGGAACACTAACTAAAATCAGTCCGAATCCCTAGAAATGCAAAAGTGAAGACTATTTTGTGTTTATTTACCTTGCAATGTATGCATATTCGTGAATTACAAGATATTGATTCATTAATGCAGTATCTTAAATCATTCATTCAGATGACACAAATGAACTCTTATTTTATATGACATTCGTTGTTCATGTTTTGAAGCTACGCTAAGCATGAGAAATTTCTGTCTGATTTCTTTGAAAAATATTCATTCACATTTAGTTATACAAAGATGGATGACAAGCCTTCTTCACAAACAAGAAGCATTTTGACAAATCGTAACATTCAAAACAACAGTTAGAATATTCCAGGAAGAATGTTAAAATCTTCAATTATGAATAATAAAAAAACGGTAAGGTGTGCATTCTATTAATAATAATAATAATAATAGTAATAATAATAATAATGACAATAATTCATTTCATAGCCTAAAAGCAGTTTCCAAAATGTGCTCTCGCTTTAATTTCGCAACTTGAATAAAACATAATCCAATAAGTTTACCTGAGATGCATAATGATGCATAATGGGCAGAGAGAGAGAGACAAATAAAATAAGAGAGAGGATGGATGATACACTGTTAACACTTATTGTTAGAAGAAAGACTGAGTTGGAGACTTTCATGCTGTGGGACATATTTATTGCCTTGACGGACAATCCTAGTATCGTTTCTCATGGAAACGTCAATTTAGACTAAATTATATTAGGCATTGTGATGTTTATCATTTCTGAATAATTAATGTACGCATAACTTGTAATTCACAGTTCAAACACTTGATGATACTTAGTTTCTATTTAACTTTATTCCTTTGCGTTAAGAGTGGAAGATGGGAGTATAAGCTTGGATTTCCAAGTGGTTCAGTGGGAGTGGTTTATTGTTTTAACGGGGCGAGATGGTTGCTAGCTTCGAACGGAACCTGCCTTGTTCTTCCGGCTTATTAGCGGGTGAGAGAGAGGTTCAGGAGTGGGCAACTGTGGATCGATCGCTGGACCAGCTATTAGTCATTTAAACATGAGTAAAGAATTCTGATTAAGAGACAATTATTTTCAATGCAACTGAATGATAATGCGACATACAGTCGTTGTGACACGTTGTGATACGTGAGAATAGGGAAAGGATATAATGGAGATATATATGATAACGCGCGCGAACACACACACACACAGACACAAGGAGAAATATTGATATATATTCAAATGTTTTCTTTCACTCACTGTATTTATTAATTCGTCAATGGAGATAATAATGGGATTAAACAAGAAACTGTATTGTTCTGTATTGGTTTGAATTTTACTTTATAGTTCAGAATTTGACAGAAAAGAGGATGAAAAAGCTAAAACGTAGACGTAATTATCGCCTAATTGTATTGCTTTTATACTTACACTACTATCATCGCCGTCGCCGCGATCACCACGACCAACATTACAACTAACAATAAAAATAATTGGAATAAAAAGATGAAAAATCTCTTTTCAATTCAACGTAATGTCCAATAACTGTTTATTTCCACTCTCCAGTGTTTAACTACTTTTTCGAGTGAGCGTCTTGTATGCATTCTTGTATGTGTGTAGTATTTATCCATGTTGCATTGATGTGTGCGTGTATGCCTCTTTCAATCTATGTTTGTGTTTATGTACACTTTTGTTTCCAACGTCTATTTAAGAAAAGACAAAAATATATTGTTTGGTTTATGATTAAAATGTGTGCGTGAGTGTCATAGCGGTTAGGACGCTCGCCGACCATGCACATGCTCCGAGGTTCGATTGGCGACCACCGACTCACTCCCTTACCTCGCTAAGCCAGAAGTAATGCTGGTAAAGAGGAAAGGTTGGGAATGAGGCTAGCAACCACATCCTGTAACACTAAACACTGCTAGAGAGACTTCTATCCACTAGCTTGAAGCCCTATGTTCCAGTGGGGAACGTGAAGGAAAGAAATGATAAAAATGTTGTTTTTTCTATTTTCAATCAGTTACTATGGTTTCTCACTCATTCTTGTTGGAAAACAGTCACCATGATATCAGAGATAAATAAACTAAGTGACACAAAGATGAAGCAACAGTCACAAGGAATCGTTGTCAAATACAAAGTCGATTCGAGCAAGTCAATGAATCCAAATATCTTGAAATAAAAGACGAATCTATGAAAGATAGAAAACAGAATAGATTGTTATTTTTCATTAGAATAGAAAAAGAAGTTGGACATTTCGTTCGACTTTACTTATCATAGACAGAAGAAGTAGTATTTTAAATTCAATTGTGGGAACAAAAATGGAACTTGATGATATTAGATGGTCGGAGGCACTTGGCAGGAAGCCTGGCTTCACCTATACGTTTACTTCCCACATTGTGTTCATGTACACTTTTGTTTCCAACGTCTAATCAAAAGGAAATTGCTTGGTTTATGAACAGAATATTGTTTTTTCGATTTTCAATCAGTTACTGTTTGTTCTGCCTCATTTTTGGCTGTTGGAGGCGATTGGGAACAAGCTGTGTACCTAGGACATACGCTTATTGCTAACTACCCACATCTTCTTAAGTCTCGACAGCCACGTCAACGAGATCGATTCACGGTACGTACATTCTCTATTCTTATGCTTACTTTTGCTTTCTTCATCATTATCGGTGGACTGACTGGCTTCCTTGGTGTAGTTTCTAGCTGCACATCCAACCTGACCTCTCATTTGTTTCATGTGAATAACTGAGTAAAATGTCGGCTTCACTTAAATTGTTTTTGTTTTTATTTTCCGAATTCCCTGAATCACCTACCATCCAACCATCATTATCTTGACGGCGATTAGATGTCACGGATGAAAATGTAGCTATGGGGGAGTATATCCTGTCTTACACTGTGTATTCACTTGTTTCTTTCTTTATTTATTCAGTTGAATTGAGTAGGTGACTGTGTAATTTCTTTTCAAGTCATTTGAGCAGGAATCTGAGTGTACGACAGATGACTTGTGTATTTGCCCATCATGGTCTTTACAATCACACCAGTTTTTCCACCTATTTTGATAATTCGAGATGAAATCGTCAGTTGGTAGAGAGCGTTCCACGTTGGACAATCCGTCTATCTTTCTGTCTATCTGAGAGTCTCTCTATTTATTTATTTATTTCTTAGTCAAATGCCAATAAATAATTCGATAGAGTGAATGTCGCGGATCCGAATCCTGGCGGTTGGTGCGTACCACCACAGAGTGTCAAAGTAGGACGAGACAGCTGTCCAGTACTGCCATCTTCTCCAATGCTTCTGTAACCGACGTCAGTTGATGATGAAATCTTGTAACATGAGATGTGTTGGTTAAAGTATTCGAATTCATGGTGAAAAGTGAATGTGAATTCGATCTCATTGATAATACTTCGTCTTTGAATAACTTAGAAACACGCCTTATGTTACGAGTGAACAAATGACCATGTGAATAGAAGTAGGCTCAACTAAGTTGTTCGCACTATGTGTCGTCATATTTGAATAAGTAAATAAATAAATAAATAGATGAGAATGATTTCTAACGAAATCATGTTTACATTGTTCAGTATGTTGACTGGTCGCTAGACGGTAACCGATCTTGTTTCTCGACGATTCCACAGTTTGGCTACTTTACTTGTTGACATTAATTTCACGTAGTGTGTCTCCAACATCCACCTGAACTGTTATTATTTAGATTCCAAAATAATACAGACTGCTCTCTGGAATGTAATGTGTCATGTCCTTGATGACATCATCGAAATTTCATTCATTGTCAATTAGTGTTTATTATATGTTCACAAATGTATTTGATTTACACTGGACGTCGTTTGTATAGAAGGGAGAAGAAGAAGAAGAAGAAATTGATGGCATTTCTACTGTACTTTCTTGTACTTTCTATGTTACTTAATATTCAGAAATGTCGGCTGTTTTCTTGCAAAGGAATAAACATTTTCGTATTATTGTTTAGAATTTAATGCCAGTCGGATTAATGTTCGATGTGAATATCACAGGAGGTGAAGAATGGTTGAATAGTTTAAATCTGACCAATTTATGTCGTTTCTATGATGTCAGTTTAACTACTCGTCCTACTAAATCAAGAGAATTTTGGAAGGTATGTGTTATTAATAAGTTTTATATTCTATTTTCCGAGTATATTTATATATGTATATACAGTCAAACATTTGAGACAAAATACACTCAGTAAATTTCATTAGAGTTTTCAAAATGGTCTTAACTTTGACATCGGAAAGCGCTGAACAACAGTGACACTTCAGGATCGAGTGTAGAATTTCAATTGAAATCATGATCATTGGATAATGTTTTCAGCATTTGAAAGGAATTCCGCTGGCTATGAATCTCACAGGCAACACCAGCCAGCTCACACGAGATGCACATATATTTAGTTGGTGACTTCCGAATAGAAGGAAGCACACTTCCTCGATTCAACTGATAGCCACTGTCAACCAACTGTCAACATCATTTTAAGCTTAAGGTAGCGTTCAAGTGTCTGTACTTGAAGCTGACATGTCGACAGAAGCTAATCATCTCGGTCGAATAGAATTAGTCGACAGGAATTTCAAAGTGACAACTTGAACAAATTACCATTCATCTATCGATGTGAAATGAAATCTGATGGCTTATACCAGTTTGCTTTACTTTATAGAATGATGCTCCTTCAGCTTTTGTTTTGTTGAACTGTATATTTAAGGTTAATGAAAAGCTTTTCGAATACGTGTGTGGGAAGGAGTTTTGTCGAAGTTACCTGTGATTGAAACTCTACGAAGAAAAACATACTCAATGAATATAAATACCGAGAAGGATTTATTTATTTATTCACTAATCTGTAATTCGATGGAAGTGAATGAATTCACTCCACTAGAAAGAATAATTATTAGGCGTGAGTGAAGATGTGACATTAGTCAGAGAACCACTGAACCACTGAAATACAAGAAGTACTAGATAGCTATTTTCCATCACTGTAGCTCGAGACTCCTCTTCAGAAGTACTCACAAGTGACCACATCACAGAAATAACTCACTACCTTCGTGAGTAGTCATCCAGCTCTGTTCCACTGGTTAAATCTTAACGTATTCGCCTTGTGTGTTGGCTCCTGACGTGATCTCATTTGAAATCAGTCGAAGCTTCACCAAGCTAAGATTAAAACATTATTTGGTAGTGTTTTTCTTTGAAAATAAATACAAACTAATTTTCAACTAATTTTAATTCATGTTCGAGTTCATCATCATGTGACTAATTTTAATAGATAGTTAAAACTATTGAGACATTCATTTATAAACTGGATACTGTTGAAGGAAACTTCCGTTGGAATCAA